TTGTTATATCATTATATGTTCTAATGGAAACACTGTATGTTAATAACCCCAATTAGCTAACATTGACGACATTGCTGAATGTTCAACATGTCCCTGAGATCTGTCTGTATTTGCAGTTTGGTTGCACATATTACTAATGCATTACAAGGGATAATTTGTTGATTTCATACTGTGCAATCAAAATGTTAAAATGTCAGAACTCACTACAAAGTTGGCATACAATGCATGCAACTAGTACAGATCTTCACAATGTTGCTAAATAAAAAAAAAATTCACCCCCCCATACAGTTGTCATGGAAGCGTAAATTAGCTATAGAGACCAAAACCCTTTTTGTTCCAGGCTGTATTTGTATTTCTATCTGTTTTTTCATATATTAACAGACTTTTAGTGATGTTTACATTTGCACCAGTTCCTGAAAATAAATGGACTTTCTTCATCGGCTAACCACTAACTTTGCTATTTGATGCTGACTAGGTAGTGTAAGAGCGATTTGAACTTTTCTCTGCCTGTTGCTGCTGGAAACAATTTGATGAGAGTGAGACTGGAGTAAAACTTAAGGCTGAAAGACACACAACATACAAATGTTAAAATGTTCATTTTAACCTGAGAGTATCTACAGAGTTGGGTGAATGAGCAACCTCTTTCACATTACACATCACTATTAATTCCATTGTTAATATAAAGTATGGATAAGTGCAACTTTAAACTTTGGCGTAATATTTAAGTTTCATTTGTTTTAGTTTCCATTAAAACAAGACTCCACACAAAGGATCTGGCCAGAATAAGTAGTTTCCATTATCATGCCAAGCTTATGAGTACTTAAACTGTATTTTTTGAGGAATGGGAGTGTGTCCTTAGTTCACTGCAGTCTTCACATTTCCCTAGTTGGTTTTGGGAATAAATGATTTTTTTGCTTCCAGCCTGATGCACTCTCAGAATAGTGTTGTTATAAAAAAAAAAAATCATCAAAAGCATAACAATCAATTGCTTTCTTCTGTTCTTGCTCTTTATTTTTTGCAGATGTTTGGGGTTTGATATGATTGATTTTAGTCCTTAAGTGTACTATATATCACAAACCATAAATATCTCCCAGCTTACTGCATGACCTAATCCACGCTTAATCAGTTAAGGCAGCCTCCTACACAGTGGAACAAGTCAGTTTGCAAATGTCTCTGCAATGTCAACAAATAATTTTACTGGTTCAAGACCAGAGAAGAAGAAAATCTAAGTGTGTGACCTCTCCTCTTCAATAATCACACTGGACGTTTAAAACCTCAGCTCTGCACAGAGGAAGCCAAAGTCAGAGAAATAAAACATATTTGGTCATAGTCAAAACAATGGAAAAAGCTCTGCTCAGATTGTGGGAGGCTTTGCAGTGAGAGAGATCTATTGTTGTGATGACAGCTGAAGTTTTTCATTTCATATCACTCTGATTCATGTGGGTCAAACCACATCACCTACTGACTCACTGTTACCGGAAAGCTGTGCTTCTCAAAGTGGGGTCCAGAGACCCACAAAGATCCTTTAGGGACTTTCAAGGCGCCCCAAGCAAACAGAGAAATATTTCACTATATTTAAGCTTACTCAAACTTTAAAACAATCATTAAATGAGCCAGATCATGATGTCACTGAATGAATTATGATATTGCTCAGCAAACACACTTGGTGAAACTCTAACTCTTACAACAGTATTAATCATTTTTAGCCACTTTTGGGAGCAACAGAACAAACAGTAAACACAACACTGATATATTACCACTTATCTCATATTGCAGATGGTTAAACAAACTGATTATTTATCCAGTAGACATAAGATAGCATTAGCATTTATTTCTAGGCTCATTTGTGTCCATCTGATGAACGAATCTTTATAGTGTTTGAGTTCTCTAGATGTAAAGCCAATGGTGGAAGGTAATCAAGTATATTTACTCAAGTACTGCACTTAAGTACAATTCTGAGGTACAATCTGTATTTTACTAGAGTATTTTCATTTTGTGCTACTTCATACTTTGACTTCACAACTTTTTTTAGAGGCAAATATTGTACTTTTTACTTCACTAGCTTTATTTTATAATCTTATTTACTAGTTACTTTTCAAAATCATATTAATAAAATACAGCACAATCATAAGACTTTATTGATCTCCAGTGGAACATTCACAAGCTACCAAGCAGTAATTTAAATTATAAGCATAAATACTACTTAAAAATAGCTCCCCCTTTACCAGCTGCATTAAATATGACTTACACAATAATGCATCAGTAATTCTAATCCAATAATATGATATAATTAATGGGATATGTGTAATGAGTAGTTTTACTTTAGTACTTTAAATATCTTTTGATGGTAATACTTACTTTTACTTAAGTAACCTTTTGAACGCAGGATTTTTACTTGTAATATTTTTACACTGTGGCATTGCTAGTTTTAGTTAAGTAAAGGATGTGAGAACTTCCTCTGCCACTGTATAAACCAATTAATGCCTTTTACTAATATTGAGATTAAAGGAGGTTTGTAAACAACAAAATATTGCTTTAGCAACATCATCGGGCAAGAGTTGAAGTAAAATGTGTACAAAAATTCAAATAAGAGTTTTGACAAACCAGGTTGGATGTTTGTCTCCATAGAAGGACCTAGTACACTACAGGGCCTGAGCCAGAATGTAATGTGTATACATGAATATAAAACCTACAGAATCACAGGATTTAATGCTCAGGTTTATTAAATTCTTAAGAGCGCTGTAATAAATTTGTCAGTTGTTATTTTGAATGTGCACAGAAATAAGTTAAAATAAGTTTGAAAGGCCATGAAATGCAGCTGTCAATCTGACGTATTACTTTATTAGTGATCTATTCCTTACTCCTTACTTTAACTGAATAACAATAATATATGATTGCAGGTCACAGGTTCTACCTATCCAATCAAAACTAACAGAAATGAGCTGCTGCATGGACACCCTGAATTAAAGGATCGCTGTTTGGTTGTCACCATGATCAGCTTTGTTGTCATAAAAGTAGATAACCAGAATTTGGTTTGTAAGGTGCTGCTACACAGAAAGAAGATTAGCATATTCAGCTGTTTCCACTCATGAGACATTTTTCGAAAATCTGTCAAAGGAAAATGAAAAGATACACTTACAGATTTATCAGCATTATTGTGGACACAATCTCAGATATGACAGCACCCTAGTTTTAAGAACCTCAGATGACTGATGAAGCTGATAACGGTGACCTTTGACCTCTACAATGGTTTGTTGCTGTCTCCGACTTGTACTGCCCCCAGCAGACTTACACAAAACCCAGAGGGGTTGAGTATGTGTGTATGAGAGAGACAGAAAGGTGGGGGAACAATCTACCAGTAAATCACCTCACCAAGCCCCCTCCTCATCTCCCAGTTCTCCCTGCTGCACCACTGTCTCACACACACACTGATGACAGTAAGCAGGAGGGTGGCATGTTTGAGTACTTGCATGAGTGTCTGTCGTATATGCATGTGCGCACACACACACACACACACACACACACACACACACACACACACACACACACACACACACACACAGGCACACAAACAATTGCTATCTGGTGTGGAATGTTTGCTCTGTTGGGGTCTCGTTACAAGGGGGAGGATGGTGCGCAGCAGCCAGTTTGTCTTTCTGTCTGTCTTGTCCTGCCATCAAACACATAACAGAATACAACAGGACTGAACAGAAAAATCCAGGGGGACAGTGTGATGTTATGGGTTGTTCTGCACTACATTCAGGGATAAACTGCATGGATAAAAAGTGCTTTGTCTTTGACACTTTGTATGAAAAATATTTAAGGGCATTTTTTTTCATTCTCACGATGCCACAATGATTGAAAAGTCCTGATGGGCTGGAGTGCGTAAATTGACAGTATATATTCAGATGCCTTATACCACCAGGTTTTATGGCTAACACGTTAGCAACAATTATACCTTCAGTAGACCCAGAAAATAAAAGATGACACTTTCTAAGCAGGAAAAGAAACAAAGGATGAGGAAGAGGTGCATCAAGCATTAGAGTAAGGAGCAAGAAGAGGAGGGGAGGGGACATCTTGCAATAGTTTACACAGTGCAAGGATATAAAAGCTACCCGATCCACCTCAGTCCTTCCCCTCCCCTCACATTTACTACTCTTTCCACTCCGCCACCACCCTTCCACTTTATCCCTCCCTCTGTCATCCAGGCCAGTAGAGAGGAGTGATCAACCTGAGAGTTTAAACAGACCAGAGAGCCGGCAGAGCGGAGCTCACACACTCTCTCACACACACATTCCTACAGCTGTTCAGTGACGAGGGAAGTCTAGTGACTGGAGCACGAAGCTGAGGTAGGTTTGCTGCAGCTGTGAGTAAAGATTACCTCACTGCTGTGTTTTATGGCAGTTATGCAACATAGCTGGCTCATGCTTTCTTTCTGTTATTCTGCCTCTTTAAAAGAAATAATAAGAGTTGATCTCTGTACAGTAAAGTGAAGGCATTTGTGTTTGAATCATATTGAGCTTTTTTGTTTGTTTGTAGTTTTTTTTTGCAAAATTTAAATTAAATCGTTTAGTACAAGCCTTGATTTCACTGCGACCCTCAAGTTTTTTCTAGTCTAGCTGCATTTTTTACACCTTGGACTTTGGTGGTTCGTTTAAGATCTTGACAGTTGCTCACAAGCTAAGGGTCAAATATTGCCCCTGTTGTGCTTTCAGATAGAAGACAAAGGGAGGAATCTGCTCCTGTGAAGCAGAGCGTACTGAAGGAGAAGCAGCCTGGGACATCGCAGGACAGAACTGAAGGAGTGTGGATAAAACAGACCAGGCATTTGCCCCCTCCCCTGAAAACTTTCACCTCCCGACCCTTGCCCCTCAGTCCCCTCCCTCAGCACACTGAAACTACACATTCTCCAGTGTCCAGAAGATCTTATTTACAGTCTGGCAGACAGAGAGGCTGTCTGTCCCATTCCCAGAGGGTCACCAGTGGTTACAGCTGTCCGAGTGGCCCTCCCGGAAGAGCAGTGGCTCAGCTCCAGCAGGAAAACCGGCAGCTTAGGAGTCAGCTAGAAGCTCTTACCCGCCAGGTAGAGCTCCTGAGTGCAATGACAAGTGACAGGAGCACTTTGATTAGCAACAACCACAGTCACAAGCATCACCTTAATAACATTCAGGAGAACCACCAGGATATAAAAGAGGTGGTCTACGGCAGAGGTCAGGCTCATACTCAGAGCCAGGCTCACCTCCATGTCCAGACCTGCACCCTGGGGAACCAAGCCCAGACCTACAGCAGCCTCAGTAATCAGTCAAGTCCTGGATCACCCCCTGCCACCTTCTCATTCTCCCCCAGCTCCAGCAGTCCTCCTGTGGGCTCCAGAGTTTCCTCAATGGTGACAGGCCCGGTGTTCAGCAGCAGCCCCTCCACCGCCCGCTTCTCCAGCCGAGCCACATTCGCTGTGTCCAGCAAGACTAATGTGAGTACTGCATGTATGTATAAATGAGGTGGTGGATGCCTTTACAACAGTGGTTCCCAGCCCTATTTGTCTAATGAACCCCGACAACCATGCTAACCCTTTCAGTGATACCACTCATCATGGTCCATATATGTTCAAATATGTTGGTTTGATCTTAATCTCTAACAGTTTCGATTCAACTGATCCATTGGTTTTAGCTGTTTAACATTATTTTTACCAAAATATTGTCATCACATTTAACTATCTGTACTTATTTGCTGCTTTTAGAAATCTGTTAACTTTTATCTATTACTTTTAGTTGTCTGTTTCAATCTTTTATCCATACTCTTAGCTGTTTAGACTCTTCTCACTTGGTAGTCACTGTAGTATAATATAATAATTATTTCCATTTTTCAAATTAGTTCAGCAAGTGTTTTCATGTATCTACTGGGCAACAGCAGAAGTAACCTCTAGGGAACAAGGACTTGTAATTGGAAATCACAGTTTTACATGTCAAGAAGAGCCAAATCTCGAGCGCTTGACTTAACTGTAGTGTCCCGCTACATGAACTTTTCTAATATGGATGCAAATTTAATATACAACCGCAAAGGAGGTAATTTAGCAATTGCAATGTAATTTTTCAGGTTGGGAAAGAACCACTATGGTAACAAAGTGGAATGTGTTTGACCGAAGCCACGTTGTGTTGTGGTTGTGTGGAGGTGTCATACGAAGCGCCGGCTGTGTCACCGCAGTTGCACAATAGACCCTGACCAGGATGCTTAAGAATTTATGAAGGTTCAGTAACATGAGTCGAGCAGCCTCCTGGGAGGTGAGGTTATTGTGGTCATGTGGCTTTCAGACCTGAGTCAAATATGTGAAATCAGTGTTGTGAAACGTAGGCTCTGGTTAGTCATTATCAGAGTGTCTCTATCACTGTGAGCCCTTGTCTGGGGGATTTTTATCATTCTGCCTTCACCTGAATGATTACATGGTTTTGATTTGAGGAAAATCCAACCACTTGTCTTGAGGAAGTCTAAACTCTAATGAGTAAATTAAAAAAACAGATGGAGCAAGCCAAAAACAGGCCTATTTTCTCAGTTCCTGGAAAGCTGACATTTTTCTTAGTGTATCATTATCGGGTTTGTCTGGGTTACATCATAGTTCATCACTGCATGAATGATGGCCAGACGACCCAAATTAGTGTTTTAGTGCTCAGCGGATTTTGAATTATTGTCATTTTGGGATGCTGCACATGGAGGTTTTGACATATCTTGGAGCTCCATACAGAGTTGTCACAGTTCCCAACATTGCGTAACTGAATTTGTTTCCTCCCTTGGCGCGTCTTGCTTCTGATGAAACCAAAAAGAGAACCTCGTGGCTTATATCCATCCTGTGGTTTCTGCATCACTCAGCCAGCTGATGACGACCATGGAGATTTGCTGGCTTTCTGCTCAGTATAAATTAATGGGATTTTCACCTCAAAAATGTCTTTTGTCAAAATTACCTTTGTCCAAATATTTAGAAAAATAGGAAAGTGCACCAGCTGAAGACAATTAAGATTTTTTTTTTCTGTCTTTGTCTTTCCACTCCTGGGTGATTTAGTATACATGGGTTTAAGAGTGTGTCTGTGTTCTAACTCAGGATTCTTTCAGGAATCTGTGATCTTGTAATGACAAGACTGAATCCAAATTCAACCAGTCTCTGCATTATTTGTGAGAACTAGCTAAGTAAGCTTGCATTGTTCACCATACACTCCTTGAGGCCTTCTTGCAGCACAGGCCAATTTTGTGCTGTCCGTCTGTGTGCTCAAAACAATCATATATAAGAAAAAAAAAAAGAGTTAAATACAATGTTTCCATCTCAAGGCTGGACTATGCATTTCCATCTGTACAAACACAGACACATGGGTGTGATTTAGAAACATTTATGTGTCTGTTTTCTGTTATACTTCTACAAAATTGGGGTATAACATCTCATGTACACCGGTTGCATAATTAAAGCAGCACATTAGCAGCAGCTGCAGTCCTCCATCAGTGGAACTGTGCTAGCAAATCGGAAGAAAATTGACTTTACAGGTTGCAATAATGCACATAAAGTTTGAGCTTTTACACACCTGGTGTCAACAACTGTACTGATAATATAAATGCAGTATATACTGTTGAGTCTGGCCAGTGTATAAGTCTAGCTCTACTTCTGCATTATTCCTTTTTTCCCCAAACCCATTACTTCTTATGCATCAGAAGGAGTTTCTGCTAACACACCACAAGCATGTTCACAGCAAATGTTATCTTTCATGAACTGGCTGTGGCTTGAACCACCACTGATTCAAACAACAATAAATAATACTGACTTCTATTTAGTGTTATAGTCATTACCTAAAGTAAACAGTGAAACAAAAGACATAAAACCACAGGTGAAACAGTTTTGCTTTACAAGTACTTTAAAGTGACAGTAGTAAGTCTGAATATTTACTTCCAGGGCACTTCATCCTTCTGTGGAAAGACATTTAGCTATTTGAAATGTTTGGCGAGTTATTTTAAAAGTTTGATAGCTAGATCAGCAGTTGAAATGTTTGCTAGTGCTAGCGAGTGTTTGGTAACAGTTAGCTTGAATTAGCCTGAGTAGATCAAGGGTTGTATTGGGTGTGTGGGTACAGGCAAAAAGGGGGGTGGTTCTGGGATGTTGGAACACACTGTTGGTAAATGGTAAATGGTCTTATACTTGTATAGCGCCTTTCTATGCTTTTACAGCACACTCAAAGCGCTTTCACATTATTCAGCCATTCACCCACTGTTGAGCCCTCTCTAACACCAGTTAGTGAGAAGGTGCCCAAGTGATGACCCTGTAGACTTGTCTGCACTCCCACGCCCACACAGAACTTGTATGGGTGTTAGTGATAGTATAGTTTCAGACTCACTGGAATTGTTAATAAGTCTTTTTTTGTTAGACAATCCTGGTAGAATAGTGTCAGTGGCTGGACAACTCAAAGGTGACTGCAATTACAAGCCAGGTGGGCCAGCCACTGTTTAACCTGAGCAAACACAATACAGATGCTGTGTGTCAAGCCAAATATCCAGTCTTTGCTTGGGTGAGGACAGGGTTCAGGGATACTTTGTGTTAAAGGTAGGTCAGGTCTGGAAAATGGTGTTGCTTATTGAGGGGTTCTGAAGATTTATGATAGCACTGTCTGGCACCCCCCTCATAAGGGCCAAATAATGGGTAAACATCATTTAACTCATACACTGAGCTTCCATATGAATGCTCTCCTATTCACTGGCACATTTAACTGTGTATTACTGGCTGACTGTTTATGAGACTAGCATTGAGATTCTCTTTGTTATTTGGAGCAGAGCTGTTCCTTGGGGAGGCTTTTTCTCTTGCCTGTAGATTCACAGTTGACACACAGCACAGACACAATACACGCACACTACAGCATATCCTGGCACACACCCTCTAAAGTAGGCTGAGTTGTGTTGATGGACTGCAACAGGTAGGAGGTGGTCCAGTCAATATTTTCATTATCTTGTGATGCACTTTGACAACTGACATCAGAAAGACATTTAAATTTAGCACCTTATATGCTCAAGTTTTCTGTGTATGCTCAACATCCAAATAATTGTTAGGGATGCATAGTGTACATAATAAAAGTATAAATTGCAGCCAAGATTTACAAAAATATAAAAACACAAGCTCACACATGTGCACATTATGCAAATCGCTGTTCCTCCTGTATCTGTAATTGCCAAACTATGTGGTTGATACAACAGAGGAATGTTATCTTGTTTGAAATCATGTGATCAGAGCTAAACAACACAACGGCACCTTTGTTTCAGTGTTTCTGGTATGGGAGATCCTGTTGTCAGCCAAGCACTCAAGTGTCGCACACAAAGTCACACAGATCATATCAAACATGAGATGCAAAAAGTACTGTGAAATAATGCATCAGTGCACAAAGGTTGACTGTGTGCACACTGCTTCTTTGCTCACATCATGGTAATTAGCTTTATGGGATTTTCATCCACGTTGTCAGATCTCAACATGCCGGTGCTGGAATTGTAACTCGCTCTTCCTGTCACATCCTCACCTTCGTGTCAGAAGCAGACATGAGGGAGATACAGTACATAAAGTTCAGTTGGCTGACAGGTCTGACTGACATGGTACACAGACAAATACGCACACAGACACTTCAGGTATTTGTAACTGCTCAAATCCAAGCAGAAGCTACAGTATCTGTGCCAGAGAGATGTGTATGGGCGTGTCTGGCTTCCAGCCTGCTCTCCAGCTGTTACTGTGCACCTTCACTGTGACCTGCCAAGCCATCACACCTGTGTACACACACACACACACACACACACACACACACACTCACCTCCAAAACACACCTGCAGCGCATACTCTATCTCTATGAATTATGTACAACTTCTTTCATCTTTATGATCTGTCTCTTTTTTTTCCATCCTCTCGTTTGTATGCATTTTTTTCGGTTTGCTCTTTGAATGTTATCACCCCATTAAATGGCCGTTATCAGTTCGTCATCTGGTGCATGGGTTAGTATGGCCCAACTTCACCTCTTAGTCAGCTCAGTATGCCATTAGCATGTGACAGACCATGAAGTGTGCCAGGTTCAGACACAAAAACTGCTTACTTACTAAAGTAACAACCTGACTATTGGTTTGAAAAGACAAACCAACAGCTGTCTGGAAGTCCTATGTTTTGAAGAAAAATGCAGTGGAAACAGACTTAGCAAATTCATCTTCATGTATACATTCACTGAAGAGGTAAAAAAAAAAAAGCATAGTAGACCAAAACAGATCAAATAAAAGCTCCAAAGGCTAAGAATGGCATTTTCAGTTTCTGAAGTAAGAATCAACTGTGCATGCAAATGATCTCTGTTCTGTTTACACTGCTCTGCTAGCTTCTCATGCTACACATAATGCGAGAAACAGGTCACCCAGTGCAGTGGTGTGACTCACTGGCATGTTTTTAATAGTTTTTGAACAACAATGGAGGCCTACGGCACA